TTACTCTTCGTATTTCTGATTAGATTTGTGTAATAAAATAAACAGCCCAAATGACCATTTTCCTTGGGTTAATTACACTAATAGTCCCTATAGTTTGGGACTTGTGTCACTTTGGTCCTTGACTTTTCAATTGTGACACATTTAACCCTGAATTTTGAATCTTGTTCCAAATAAGGACAATTGAAAATACTATTAGATTTTTCAAGGGTAAAATTGTCAATTTGATAAAATATAAACTAACTTGACAAAAATAAATGTCAAAAAAATATTTTTAATTTTTTAAAATTATTTTTATCCACCAATGATAAAATTATGTAAAATTAATAAAAATTACATGATTAATTGTTTAAAATTAATTTTATATGATAATCATCCAAACACATAATAAAAATTAATTTGGTAAAAAAAATAAATAAATGTCTAAAAGATTTATCAATTTTACATAATTTTATTTTTAGTGGGTAGAAATAATCAAAAATATTTGTTTGACATTTATTTTTTTCAAATTAGTTTATATTTTATCAAATTGACGATTTACCCTTGAAAAATCTAATGATATTTTCAATTGTCCTTATTTGGAACAAGATTCAAAATTCAGGGTCAAATGTGTCATAATTGAAAAATCAGGTACCAAAGTGACACAAGCCCTAAACTATAGGGACTATTTGTGTAATTTGCCCATTTTTCTTTTTAATAAACTTTTGGTACCCATTTAATTTGCTTTAATTTATTTAATTTATCCGCTTGCGCTACAACTACAGAAATTTTTTTAGAATTATTTTATTTTTATTGTCTTATTGCGACGCTGAACCTTTAGGTACCGGATTTGAGTTGTGACACAGGAGGTCACGTGCCCCCTGGATTCTAGGATTCTTTTTGTTTTTTTATTTTGCAAACATAAAAAAAATATTTTAAATAAAAAAATTACAAAAATATTATTAGAGTGAAATGTCAATGATATTTTAAAAATTATGAGAACAATAATGATTATTTTGATTGAAAACGAAGAGACTACTATAAATTATATTATCTATAAAAGAAATATATGAAATTTTTTGGATGTAATGGTGATGCCATTATTAGTGAGATGCAAGTATAAGTAATCTCACTATAAAGATATGAAATTTATTAGATTGTTAATTACATTTGACACGTGAGGTTCACTTTTTATGTGTTTATTTACTATTAGTGGGTGATATAACATACCAATGATGACGTGATATTACCATTATATTGAATTTTTAATCAAATTTTGTATACAAAAATAATTTATCATTATATAATTTATTTTAAGACTTAGATCCATATTTTTTTTTGTATTGTCCATGATATATTAATTATAAATAATATTATTTTTTTGATATTTCTCGAAATCAATCATAAAAACTTACGTAAAATATTTTTGTAAAAAATTTTGATATTATAATTAATAAGTGCTCTTCTAATTTAATTTTCTAACTCCGTCAGTAAAGCCATGGCTACCAAAGCTGAAGCAACCACCCGTAACACCTCAAACCAAAACCCAGTTCCCTCTTTCATTGCAGTCTTAAGTAAAACCACTCAACGTCTGGTAGTGTTTTGCACTTGAAATTTTTTGTTTGTCTTGGGCTCTCTAGTGGTGCTGGATGGTGTGATCGGGAATGGTGGCAGTGGGTCTGTATGGCCTTGGGTTATTGGATGAAGTGAGTGATAAGCAAAGGGAAATGATAGGAAGGAGATGGAGGGTGAACCATGGTGGTGTTGCAGGTTGAGTTTGCTGTTGCTTCTGTGCAATGAAGATGAGGGAATGAAGAAGAGAAGGAAAGAAAAAGAAGAATAAAATGAGGACAAACGCGACATACTCCCAAAACATTTGCTGCCACACACGCATAATTGGGCTTGTGTTAGCCACGCTCCGTTAATTTAGACACTATCAGTTACTTTTGTACTTTACTCCAAACTACGATGGTGTTATATTATATGTATATTTTTAGAACTTAGGTAGGTGATCTGTTTTTGAGTTATATTACAAGGGAATAAAGTACATTTAATCCAAAAAATTAAAAGAAACTTGATTTAGGTCTCGTGTCGGAAGTTTGTTATTTTAGTAAGTTAAAATATTTACTACAACTTTCTTAGTTTAGTGACATTTGAAAATGTCAAAAAACTATTCTTTTAATGATATTTTTTAAGCTTATGGCATTTTAAAGGAAAATGAGTTGGACCCCCTCAAGAAGGCACTCCCTTTGACCCCCTCTCTCTCTGATTGGTTAGTTTTTCTTTTTTTTTTTCTTTTTTTCCTTCTCCTTCAATCACCACCCGCCACATGTGTGTGGGGTGGTGGGGGTGGTGATTGGAGGGGGTCTCAATCACTTCCCCATTTTAAATAAGCGTTATTTATACTTGTGTCACGGTAGATACTAGTGGCACCTCAGTGACATTTGCAAGTGTCACTACACCATTATGGTTAAAGACTTTCAATGACACTTTGTGTTTGGGAAAATGGTTGATTTTTTTTTTTTTTTTTTTTGTAGTTAGATATGATATTTGTAAGATAAAAAAGTAAAATGATTATAAATTTAATGTGATTTTATCTTATTGACTATTTTAACCTATTTTATTTTTTTGTGAATTTTAACTAAAAAAAAGCCAATTTTTGACTCCAAACACCCCTTAGAATCCTTTTTCCACATTTTTCAATTAATTTGTTAATAAAATAAATAAGTAATAACATATACCAACAGAAAATAGATGATGTAAGTTACATCATGTAACGTACTTTTAAGCATTATTGTTTTACAACAAAAATTTCATCAAGATTCTTTTTGAAAAATGATATATAAAACCCATTTTGTAGTCATGTTTTCTAGACATAATGATATGTTAATAAGATAATTAGTTTATTATAACCTATAAGAGTTTTAGAGACCAAATTTTTTATAGATGATGTAAGTTACATCATGTAACGTACTTTTAAGCATTATTGTTTTACAACAAAAATTTCATCAAGATTCTTTTAGAAAAATGATATATAAACCCATTTTGTAGTCATATTTTCTACACATAATGATATGTTAATAAGATCATTAGTTTATTATAACCTATAAGAGTTTTAGAGACCAAATTTTTTTACCTCTAAAATTGAAAATTTTATTGCAAAAGACATTTATGGACCAATTTCTATCATCGTGAGAATAGTCCCTAAAAGATCGTCCCGAAAAGTCAAAAACAATGCTTTTAGCGACAAAATTTTAAAAATGTCACTAATAAATAGACTTTTAGAGACAAAATTATTTGGTCTCAAAATGGTTTATTTTTTGAGACAAAAAATTTGATCCCAAAATAAAAATAATTTATCACTAATGTCTAATTTTCATTTCTAAAAATATAATGACGACACTTTTCGCAACAAAAATATTTAGCCACTAAAAAATAATTTTGTCCCTAAATTTTGATCTCTAAAATCTTAATTTTTTGTAGTGGTTGATGATTAAAAAATAAATATTAAAAAAATTAACTTAAATATTTTAATAGAATGTCATATCATTAGTTTAGAAAACAATTTTAATTTTTTAACCTAGATAGTAATACTCTTCTTTTAAATCGGAATTGCCATGGATAAATTATTTTATCATAACTAACATTTTGAAAGGAGATTGTAAGAATCTCAATCAATCTGTAGGTGCGTCAATTGAATAAAGTTTAGCAAAGTGACAATATTTTATAATTTAATTAGAATTGAAATATACTACCTCGAATTCAACAATTTTGATTTTAAAGTTCCACTATGACAAATAAAAATTTTAGAGATCGAATTTTTTTTTGTCTTCAAAAGTGAATTTTTTTGGCAAAAAATATTTGGAATCAATTTATGTTGTAACGAGGATAGTTTAAAAAAAAAGAAAAAAGAAAAAAAAAGAGACTTTTAGCGACAAAACTTTAAAAATGTCGCTAATAAATGCACAAACAAAATAATTTAGTCTCAAAAAGATTTTTTTAGCAAAAAATTTAGTCCAAAAGGATAGTAAGTCATCACTAAATATTCAATTTCGTCTTTAAAAATATAATAATGACACTTTTAATAACAAAAATATTTCATATCTAAAAATAATTTTATCTCTAAATTTTTATCTCTAAATCCTTAATTTCTTGTAGTGGTCCTCCAACATTTATAAATTACCAAAATTAAAGGTTGATTTATGTATAGCATTAATTATTCATTTAAAAATGTTATATTTTTTTTTATCACTAGAGACAGTAGACACAAGTTTGACGTTTATCAGTTACAACAAACTTGGTGTGGAAAATCCTCCTTAAGCCACTTGTAAGTAGGGATGGTTTTTCTTCCCGCCCCGTTCTGCACCTGCATCCTCCCCGCTTCTACCCCGACGGATTTTCTCCGCGCCAATTAATAAATGGAGCAGGACGGATTTTGCTTCTCCCGCCCTGTTCCATCTGAACCCCACCTTGATTATATTTACTAAATATAATTATATGTATATAATATATAATTTATTTATTTTTTATTACAATAAAATTAAAACACTAATATTAATTTTTATTCATTTATTTTATATCTTATATAATATAATTTTCATCAAGTATACATTATTATTCATAACATACTATATTATTTATAATTTTTATTAATATTTTTATTTTTCAACTTAAAAAATTAACTCGCCTCCCAACCCGCATACGCTCTGCTTTCGTCACCCCTGCGACGACGAATTTCTATAAACTTGCTTTAAACCCAACCCTGCACCATCCCTACTTGTAAGGCATAGAACCCATAATTGTATAGTAGTCCGCTCACGATATGATAGGAGCCACGACGAATTTCTATAAACTTGCTTTAAACCCAACCCTGCACCATCCCTACTTGTAAGGCATAGAACCCATAATTGTATAGTAGTAACCATAAACCCCTGTGAGCCAAAAAAAAAAAAAAAATCTTAGTGGAAAGTTGATTTAACTTACTTTGTAGTATGTTGAGTCACGTCTATAAATAATGGCCACCTCCAGAGTACATGATGCTGAAATGAAATGAAGAGTTAGTTGAATTTGCAAATCTGATCCTTCCATTGATCACCTTTTCTGCTTCTGCAATGATCCCTACAAATGGCATCACAAAATTCAGTGACTCTGGTGGTCACTTTGCTGGAGAAACTGAGACAGAGTCCGAGAGACAAGTCCCTGAGAGAGAGCTCTCCAAGTTCTCCCAAACACTTCAAACAACAACCATGCCTTTTTCAGCTAATGAGACACTCACACCTGATGACCTGGAGCAAAATGTCCAGACTGACAGGTCTCAGTGGGTGCTCAAAGCTCCCAAGCCGCCTGGCCTGTGGTCCGAGCTTCTGAATTCCATCAGAGAAATTGTTGCCTCTCATGGAAACAAGTTTCAATCTCTCAAGAATCAGCCCTTCTTCGGAACCATTTCAGTGTTGGAGGCTATGTTCCCTATCCTTCTTTTGTGCAAAAACTACACCGTAACAAAATTTAAGAAAGATTTATTGGCAGGCTTAACTCTTGCAAGCCTCTGCATCCCCCAGGTAATTATGGTTACTAAACAGAATTCACTATTGGGTTGGTACTACAACTATTATGATAAATGATTTTTTAAAACTTGTTTATGCATGTTTCATGAAGAGTATTGGATATGCTACTCTGGCCAAGCTTGATCCTCAGTATGGCCTTTGTAAGTTGTTAATTAACAAAGTTGGAGATCATTGATGTCACACTGATAACTAATAAGTCTCTTTGTGCCTATACTCAGATACAAGTGTTGTCCCACCACTTATTTATGCTTTCATGGGGACTTCAAGAGAGCTAGGAATTGGACCTGTGGCTGTAGTTTCATTGCTGTTGTCCTCTATGATTCAGAAATTAGAAGATCCTGAGGCTAATCCTATTGCTTATACAAGGCTTGTCTTTACTGTAACCTTTTTCACCGGCATTTTTCAAGCTGCCTTTGGATTTCTAAGGTTGGTCATCTCCCTCTTCTTCTTCAAGTTGGTCGGTGTCATCCATTTAGTGTTTTATGAATTATTTTTTTTGTAAGTAAGATTTTATTACCAAAAGAAGAGATATACAAAGAGGCTCAAAACAGCCCGGCAAGTAAGATTTTAGCTTTCCTCAAGTTTTGGTATGTCATTGTTTTTACAGGTTGGGTTTTCTTGTGGATTTTCTGTCACATGCTGCTATCGTGGGGTTCATGGCAGGCGCGGCCATAGTTATTGGTCTTCAACAGCTGAAAGGATTACTTGGACTTGCTCACTTTTCAAACAAAACTGATGTTATCTCTGTCTTGAAAGTTGTTTGGACATCAGTTCATAACCCTGTCTGTTCTTTTCCCCCCACTGTTCGTTTTTTTAGTTTTTTGGTTTCATAGGCCCAGATTGAAGTTACAAAAAATTCCTCAACAATTTATTTTATTCACTGTGTTTGTTTATTTGCAGTGGAATCCCTACAGCTTCATCCTTGGTTGCTCATTTCTTACTTTCATTTTAATTACTAGATTCCTGGTAAGTAACAACCATAATTGGCAATTTCCTTTTTGTTGTTGTTGTTGTTTTTTCTTCACATAAAAACAAAAATAACCAAGATCAAACATAGGTGGTGGTCTATACAATTTCTTTGTCTACCACAATTCTAGTATATACTTACTTTGTGATTCTGTGATCAGGGTAAAAGGAACAAGAAACTCTTTTGGTTGCCGGCCATTGCGCCATTGATGTCTGTTATTTTATCAACTCTTATCGTTTTCCTGACAAGAGCTGATAAATATGGAGTTAAAATAGTGAAACACATCAAAGGAGGGCTGAATCCAATCTCAGTTCATCAGTTACAATTCGACAGCCCACATGCCTCAGAAGTGGCTAAAATTGGACTGATTGTTGCAGTTGTCGCTCTCACGGTGCATTCCTCATCACTATTTATTCCCTTCCATTTATTCTTCAACATTATTCCTGTACATTTTGAATTTCTTGTTAAAAGTGTCTTAATACGTTTGCCAACTTCAGGAAGCCATTGCGGTTGGTCGATCTTTTGCATCCATAAAAGGATACCATCTTGATGGAAACAAGGAAATGTTGGCCATGGGCTTCATGAACATTGCAGGATCTTTAACTTCATGCTATGCTGCCACTGGTAAGTCTTTTGTTTTTGTTTTGTTTCTTCTCTTTCTTGTTTGTATTGCCTAAATCACTAAATCAAATTGCATTCCATTACCAAGATAAATAATTATTACAAGAATTTATTCAAAAGAGAAGCTTGCAAATTAAGCTTATTACTTTATTTGGTCACTTAGCTTAGTTTGTTCATATTTTTAGCTGTCACTAATTAAAGACGCCCACCATACAGAGAATATATAAGAAAAGGAAGGTCGTTGTGATGTAGTATAGCTAATGTATACATTGGCCCTATTGGTACAATTTATACTCTTTTTTTTTTCCTTTTTCTTTCTATATTTTATATTTTTTTATTTTTGAAAATATGTGCTATGCAGTTTCTGGCTATAGTTTATAAGGTACAAAGATTTTAAATAAACTGAAAAAATTGAATTATTGAGCAATAGGGGAAGGGTGCTTCTAGTTTCTATTTTATGTTGTCAGCTTTTAGCTTGGAATACACCAAATAACCGCATTATTATTTTACCAACTGCTATAGTAGCATGTAGCAGCATCAAAAGTTTTTTGTTTTTTTTTTCTTTGCGCATACTTAGACACGTTTTGTACCGCCTTTATTTTTTGTATTATGTTTTCGAATTGATATGAAAAACTTGTTTGGCAGACTGTTTTTGAAATTGTTTTCGGTACCCCCATTTTTAAAAAAAGCAATTGTTTTGTGAATTTTTAAGAACTGTCTTCATACAAAAATTATTATGATCAAGAAAACAATGAGTGTTTCAAACTTTTAACTATTTTTGTTCCCAAAAAAAAAAAAAAAAACTAATAAAAAGGAAATTTTTTTTTTTAAATAATGCAAAACAAGGCATTATTATCATTCAGAGAGGGTCAAGCGAAAGAATCGTTAAATTAATTGGTCTTTGCAACAAATAATTGGCATCTTGAGATCATTACTTAAAATCTGAGATGACATGACAGTATTGATTATATGGGCATATTAAGGAAAGTAATTAAGTAAATTTATTAATAATGTTATTTTCGTGAATACTGAAACTATGTGTGCAGGTTCATTTTCTCGGACTGCTGTTAATGCAAGTGCAGGGTGTGAAACAGTGATGTCAAACATTGTGATGGCGATTACGGTGTTGTTGTCACTGGAATTTTTCACAAGGCTCTTATACTACACCCCTATTGCTATCCTTGCTTCAATTATCCTTTCAGCATTGCCAGGTCTTATTGACTTCAATCAAGCTTACAATATTTGGAAGGTTGATAAGCTTGACTTCCTTGCTTGCATTGGTGCTTTTTTTGGTGTCCTGTTTGCATCTGTGGAGATCGGTTTGCTGCTTGCGGTAACTCTCTCTCTCTCTAGAATTCAAGAATGCAGAAAGAAACTTCTAATTTCATGTCTTTGATGAGCTACTAAGACGCATAGGGACACAAAATTTACGAGTGTTTCATGATCAAAAATTAAGGGAAAAAAAAAAGTTCATAAATGAATTTGGTAGAGTTTGTTTATTTTGTTAATGATTTTGCATCGGCTCTATTAAATTAGATTAGGATACTACAAAATCTATAATACTTCCTCATCATTCCTAGAAAAAAAGACTAAACTCAATTTTAGTTCAGTATTTACGACTAAAGAATTGGTATTTAAATAAATGTGTGATCCAAATTTAAATTTTGTACGATAAATTTGTATTTAGAATGAATATGAGGCAAGTACAGTTTATTTTATTTTATTTTATTTTTTATGTAAAGTTTTGAATAGCTAGTATCTAAGTTAGACAAACATGTATTTGTCAACTTACAAAAAAAAACATGTATTTGTCAGTGCTGAAAAGAATATGACTTAACATAACAACAATGATTCATCCCACTAAAAATATCACCACTAATAGCACTAATGAATTAAAAAAAGTAAAAAAAAAAAAAAAATACAACCCCAAGACCAAAACATCACATCATTAATGGCGGGAACCACTGCCACCTAATTAGTGGGAGCACTAATTAGTGCTCCCAAGCATTTTTCCTTAACATAAACCTAACCTGCACCACTATCCGTTTGGCAGGGTTTTTTTTTTTGGTTATTTTAGTTATAAAAAACAAAATAGACTATTTTAGCCACAACAAATAAAACATCACATCCAACCCATAATCATTACACTTTTCTCTCACAAAAAAATGTCAAAAAAGTCAAAAAGTCTAAAAAATCCTTTCCAAACCAAGCTTTTTAGCCCAGGTTAAAATAGTCAAAAAAGTCAAAAAGTCAACCTACTTCCCAAACGGAGGCTATATATGCATATATAAACTGTAGATAGGGATAAGAGGTCATGTTCCCATTCTATACTCTCTCCGTCTCAAAATAATGATCTATTTTGAAAAATTCAACTTTGTTTAGTAATACAATTATTACACTTTAAAAAAATTAATTTTTCAAAAATACCTTTGATAGTACATTTTTTGGAGAATATTAATGTCATAATTGTACTTTTTATATTATTAATAAACTTAAAAGAATGGCAAAATAAGAAATTTATATTATTTTTGTTCTTAATTTTTTAAAAGTGACTAATATTTTGGAATAATGAAAAATAAAATAAGGAATTAATATTTTGGGACGGAGAGAGTACATAGGTAGGTAGAGAGAGAGAACATGTGCACAAAAGTGGGAACTATTATGAGTAATGTTACAAACTATAAAAGTTTTATCAAAATTTCTATCAAATGTCTCATATGGATATGGACTCACATGAAACTTTGATAAAACTTCTAAAATCTCTAGTATTTTTAAACTATTATGGGGGTGTTTAAGAAGAAGGCTTTTTAGCTTTTTTGGCTAAAATAGCACTAAAAGCAAAATATGTTAAAATAGTCAATAAGACAAAATTTCACATTAAACTCATAATCATTTCACTTTTTCTCTTATAAACATCACATCTAACTATAAAAAAATCCAATCATCTTTCCAAACATAAAAATTGTAACCAATTAAAATAGTCAAAAACTAAAATAATCTACTAAAATAGCGAAAAAAAAGGACTGGCAATTTGGTCAAAACTTCTAATGATGAAATCAGGGAACAAAGTGGGAAATGTATATGCCCACGAACCTGGTCTTGTGCATCTTCACAATCTACAGGTTTTTTTGCTGCATTCTCAATCATTTAATAAAAAACTACCCAAAAAAAAAAATGCTGAAAAGAATAAAGTTAGTTTGATTCCCCTCCAATAACCCAGCCTACACTATCAAATTGCGCAATAGAGAGAGAGAACATGTGCACAAAAGTGGAAACTATTATATATACTTTTAGATTGGTTGGTTCTAGAGGCAGTGTTGATCAAAAAACAAGACTGGCAATTTTGTCAAAATTTCTAATGATGAAATCAGGAAACAAAGTGGGAAATGTATATAACCAGGAACCTGGCCTTGTGCATCTTCTCAATCTACAGGTTTTTTGCTGCAGTCTCAATCATCTTCTATGCTATTATAAAGTGAACACCTCTTATGGTGTCCTGAAACTTTACTCTCCTCATGCCATGTGGCAGTGTTTTTTATTTTTTTTAAAAAAATTAAACAAAGAGATGGACGAGGTTTGAACCCATGACCATGGCTTTAAGTATGAGGACTCATACCACTTAAGCTAAGTACACATTATAATATTAATTTCATTATTATTTTCTTTTATTCCTATTTATTTAAGTACACATTATAATATTAATTTCATTTTTATTTTCTTTTATTCTTATTTATTTAAATTGCACACGCATCGCGTGTGCGCAGCCGCTAGTTTAATAAAAATTCACCCAAAAAAAAAAAAAAAATTTGCTGAAAAGAATAAAGTTAGTTTGATTGCCCCCCAATAACCTCAGTCTACAGTATCAAATTGCGCAATATAGAGCTCTTCCTTTAGATTTGTATCACATTTTTGTTGATCACTAAACTGTAAACGAATTAAGCTGAGTAATGTATTATTTGTGATTGGCACAACTTATTTTTAAAGTGTGCGAGCTGGAGTGAAGTCAAAAAAATCTAAATTCACTACAACATTTTCTTAGTTTAGTGACATTTGAAAATGTCATAAAACTATTTTTTTAATGACATTTTTTGGTCTTGTGGCATCTTGAACAAGTACTACTTCTATCGGTGTCACGGTAGATACTTGCAAGTGCCACTGCACCATCATGGCTGAAAACTTTCAATGACATTTTAATGTCATGGTAGATATTATTTGTGGCACTATCAAGTGCCATTAAAAAAAGAGTTAGTGACACTTGTAAGTGTCATTACACCATCAAGACTAAAATCTTTCAGTGACACTTTAATGTCATGGTAGGCACTATTCGTGACGCTATCAAGTGTCATTCATGACGATAATTCATTGTAGAACAATTTGATCCACTCTTGTAGAGACTCGAACCGCCAACCTTCCGTACCATAAACCTTATACACCACACTCTTCCCACTACACCTCTATAGCACCACATGATTATATGTGCAACATATATTATTTATATAGTACATACATCCATATTAATATAAAAGTATATGTATAAACATAATTATTTTATTGAACATAATTTATGTAAAATAAACTATTTATTACGAAAATAAAAAAAAAGACCACCTTTGGTGACTAAAAATATTTTTTAGTTGCCAATTCTATACTTTTGGCTACTAATTATTTTTTAGTTGCTAAAAAACTTAACTTTTGTCGACCAAAATCGGATTTGGTTGCCGAAGATCCACTTTCAGCTACCAAAATTTTGGTCACCAAAAAATTTTATGCCCGCCTTAGGATTTTAGTTCTCCCGCGCTAAAAATAACCACTTTTGGTGGCTAAACTTATTTTTTAGTCGCCAATTATAGGCTTTTGGCTACTAAATTTTTTTTTTTGCATCAAAAAGCTTTACTTTTGGCTACTAAATTTTTTTTAGTCAGTAAAACCCATATAATCAGCGACCAAACTTATTTTTAGTCGCCAATTGTAGACTTTTGGCTACTAAATTTTTTTAGTCGCCAAAAAGCTTTACTTTGGGCTACCAAAAAATTTTTAGTCACTAAAACCTATATAATCAGCGACCAAACTTAGTTTTGTCGCCAATTGTAGACTTTTGGCTACTAAAATTGTTTAGTCGCCAAAAAGCTTTACTTTTGGCAACTAATGCTGTTTTGGTCGCTGAAAGCTATACTTTCAGTGACCAAATTTTTTTGGTCAGGAAATTTAGTCGCCGAATATGCTTTTTCCTGTAATGTATATTGAGTTTAATTCATTTATTTTTAATCATTTACTGCATTTTAAAAATTTAGAAAATATATTGGCATTTTTTGTTTTTTCAAAATGTCATTATAAGCTTGGAAAGTTTTTGGCTTAGTGGCATTTCTCAAAATGCTATAAAATATTTGTTTATGACAGTTTTCACATAAGTGCCATAAAAAATAATTTGCACCTACCTAGTGTCTTGACATTTTTAAAAAAATGCCATTGCAAATATTCATAAAAAGTTTTTGTAGTAACATTTTTGTTGTAGTGAAGTGACACTACAAGAAAAAGCGTTTTTGGCGACTAAAAATTCATTTTTCGTCGCTGAAAGTTGTATGATTGGCGACTAAAATGGGCCAAAATAGAACCCTTTTGCCGACTAACATAGTTTAGTCGTCGAATACCAGGCTTTTAGCGACTAAAAGGCAGTTTAGTCGCAGAATGTAGGGGTTTTAGCGACTAAAGGTTTTTTGGTAGCCAAAAGTGACGGTTTTTGGCGACTAAAATAATTTAGTAGCCAAAAGTGATGGTTTTGGCATTATAGGTGTTTTTCCGACTAAAAAAAGATTAGTCGCTGAAAATGAAGGTTTTTGGCTACAAAAAAAAAAATTAGTAGCTAAAAACAGTGAATTGGCGACTAAAATTTAGTTTAGTAGCCAAAAGGACACGTTTTTAGCGACTAAAAACAGATTTAGTTGCCAAAACTACTATTTTTAATTTCAACTTGTTTTTTTACCGACAAAAAAATAATTAGTAGCCCAAAAATCATAGAATTGGCGACTAAATAATGGATTTAGTCGCCAAAAGTGGCCTAAATTTTTTTTAATAAATAATTTATTTTTTACATAAATTATATTGAATTAAAATAATTATATTTATATATATTGTTTTGTATTAATACTGTCAATATATTATATAAATAATATATATTGCAAATATATTCATGTGATGTTGTAGTGGCATAGTGGAGGGAGTGTGTTGCAAAAAAGGTTGCAATGTGGGATGGTTGGGCACGGTTCGAAACTCAGAAAAACCAAAAAAAAGTGGTTTTTTTTTTTTTCCGATGGAACACCTTTGGCGACTAATGTT